CCTGTAGTTACAGTCCTCGTGTTAATGTTGTAATGATTTGTTATTCTGCCTGTAGTTACAGTCCTCGTGTTAATGTTATAACGATTTGTTATTCTACCTGTAGTTACAGTCCTCGTGTTAATGTTATAATGAATTGTAATTATACCTGTTGTTACAGTCCTCGTGTTAATGTTGTAATGATTTGTTATTCTACCTGTATTCAATAAAGAGTTTTGGTATAATACAAAAACATAAATATATCGGTATTTACCATAAACAACATTGATAATCAAATCTCCATGATTTTTGTGAAATTCGACTTTGATCATGTTTGGCATGCTAAAATAGTACTTGACCGTTTTTGATATTTCATAAAAATAATTCTGTAGACAGAATATATTTGTATTTATGCAATGCATAAAGTAATTTATATTATCTGGTTAGTATATGATATTTTTATTTGTTATATTTTGTTGGTTCCGGATGGAGGATAACTTTCCGTTTTTTAAACTAGTCCATCCCTATAAAAGTAGTCACGTAATGTTTTGGTGTACTAAAGTCACGTGACCTGTGCAGATTTGTTTTCCATGCTGACATTTTGAAAAATCTCCTTAAAAAATCAGTTACCCTCCTCCTCCCCTAAGTTGTATCCACCTTTATGTACTATTGTGTAAAAATGTAATTGTTGCACATCTTTGTTTTAAATTTTGTTTCATTTGTTGTACATCTTTTAATTACAAATGGGCGTTTATTTTGAAGCAAGCCCCATCTTTTTTGGTTCTTTGTACACCTTATTATAAAAATCAACACAAAGATGTAACATATGTTCGATTTCTGGCATTTAGAATAAATGCTGATTTTCGACAATTTAAAACCAGGTGGTCTCTTAGGCTTCTGTAGACAGTTTACCCTTGTACAAACGAATTTATTCATTTTATATGAAATTAATTTACGAGATTAATCAATTCTATATAACATAAACACGAGTGTTAGATTCTATTTATTTTATAATTCGAGAAAGACGCCTACATAATCGTTACCTGGAGCTATACCAGTGTAAAATGACGATATGTCTAGTAAAATGTCGTTAAGTCGACATACCTTATGTCGATAAAGTGACATTTATCACAATAAGTAGAGGTCCATTTACGTTTCCGTAGTATAGCCGCATTTTTTTCTGTCATGTTAAGTGTTTTGATTAATGCATCGCCGAACGTTTTGATTTGAAATTGAGTTTTCAATCTGATAATTTCTGTTTATTACATGATTGATTATTCTCACGCCTCACTAATTTCTCTCCCGTTACGGACTTGAGTTGATTTACTCTCAATACCTAGATATGGACTCGGCAATGCTTTAGACATTGGCATTTATTACTCCTTGGTTTAGGATTGAAGTTGGTGATTCTATTTCAAGACACATTTAATATGGGATTCAAAGTAGATCATAACGTGCGTTATGGATGGAAGAAGAGGATACTTAGCACTCTCCATACAGAGCGTGCAACATCCAGGATTTGAGGTTATTATATTAAATATGTTCCCTGTTGTATAAAACAAAAGCGATTGCTATCTTGAGTTGTGTCCCATTTCTTGATTACCTTGTCCAAATGCCTGATTAGAATTAACCAAATATGACTACAAGTATTCGGAGGTAGTGAGGATACATCTGTAGAAATAGTGGGACTGAAACCCCAGGGGGCTGAGGGATGGGGCAAAGAAGGCGTTACTATGATCATATTGCTTTAAGCAGCTTCTCTTCAAAAACTATAATAAGGATATCATTCATATTATTTGCTTGGAGGCATTGTTAATAAGTGGGAATTTAAAACTGTACTTGAGGGGTGTGGTCAGAAAAGATGATTTAGTATGCAACTTCGTCCTTGTAACTACATTATATAGGTATATGTAAGAGACAGATATCAACTATATTTGGTTAGGACCATTTTCCTGTGATGACGGGGGCCGCGGTGGCCAAGTGGTTATAAAGGCGTCTGACATTCTGGTTCCGCTGGCTCCTACACTGGGTCGCGGGTTCGAGGCCTACCCGGGGTAGTCGCCAGGTACGGGCCATTGGTCGGTGTTTTTTCTCCGGGAAATCCGGCTTTCCCCCCACCATTAAAACCTGGTACGTCCTTTAATGACCATAGCTGGCAATAGGATGTAAAACACGAACAACCCAAACCAAAACTTTGATTACAATTAAGAATTATACAGGTGAAGGGGCAGGACAAAAGGAATGATGTGACCAAAGTGGGTTTAACTACTTCTTAATTGGAACTAATACAGTTGATTACAGTACCAGTATATATATATATATATATATATATATATATATATATACAACAACCTCCACTTAATTTTGTTTTGGATATATAACTGTAGCACAGTTGGGCCAGGGCACTTTCAATTACCATTGTGATAGTTTAACAATATGAAGTCCATGGTTCAAATCCTGGACTAGTCCTGCAGAATTGTTATATTTAGAAAAGTGCTGTTTTTTACATTTTGTTCATTTCATTTTTATTTTTATTTTTAGCCCACCTTCAGATAATGGTGGGCTATTTAAATCGCTCATCGTCCGTGGTGCGTGGTCTGTCCGTCCGTCGTAAACAATGTTTGCTGTCGCTATTTCCCAGGAAGTATTGGAGGGATTTTCCTCAAATTTCATATGCTGGTTTGCCTAGTTGCGCATGGTTTCTTTTGAGGCTGATCGGGTAAACAAAATGGTCGACAGGCAGCCTTCTTGGATTATGACAGTGAAGGTTTGCTTTCACTATTTTTCAGGAGTTACATGAGGGAACTTTCTCAACTTTGATATTTAGGTCCCACGTGGTCCTTAATTGTGCAAATGATCTTTTGAGACTGATCGGATTAACAAAATGCTCGACAGGCAGCCTTCTTCGATTTCGGAAGTTAAGATTTGTTACCACTATTTCACAGGAAGTACTGGAAGGATCTTTCTCAAATTTGATATGTAAATTCCTCTCCGTCTCATTTTAACTTTTGAAACTGATTAGAAGAACAGGATGGCTGCCAGGCAGCTATTGTGGATTTTAAGAGTTAAAGTGTGTTATCGCTATTTCACAAAAAGTACTGAGTTCACAACCCTTTGACCATATCTGTGTTCACTTTACATAGACGGACGGATACACTCTGGCCCCTATGGCAACCTGCTGGTACTACTGATCCCTTTGGATTCAATCTCTTGGTCATAACATGTGCATAGAAATGGTAGAGACAGTCAATCATATATATAATTGCTGGGCATGAAGAGAAGGATACACATCAGGGTTCAGCCCCGCCCATTAGACCTTAGTCCAGGTTAATAAAATGAAATACATATATTTGAGATTCCAATCATATAACCAAACATGACAATTGTGCTTGCTTTGATATGAAGAAACAAAAACAATCATAGATGTACCATTGGGTCTAGCTCCATCATAAGAGATTTATTTGCGTAGAATGACTTTTAATGAAAAAACATTTATCACGATTGCTCAAATATTAAAGCGATCTTGTTTTCGTTAGGAAGAAAACATAGAAAAGCATTAAAGGAAATAGGTTATTTCCGACATCAAGCTCCCCATCGTCTTAACAGGGTAAGCATCAAATCACCGTTTAGTGAGAGTATTAGTTCTACCCTTGACTTGTCAGAATAATCATTATGTCTTTTTTTCACTTTTTAACATTCATTTGTTCAATATATCTAGAGAACTTACCGGATGTTATGAAGGTTTGTTCACATGAAGCGCTTATATGCATCGAGAGGCGAATACAAACTAACAAGTAAGTCTTTTTTATCAACAAACAAATTAAAGAATATATGTAAGAAATATTAAAATAAAAACGGCACCACAAAATTGTCCCTTGTTAATGAGATGCAGTAATGGGTAAATGGACAAGACGATGATTGTGAAATGATTTTGTAATTAGTCTGAACGATTCGAGCAGAAAGGAAATTATATAGTGCTCTATATATTTATTTCCCCTGTGTATTACTGTTATTTATATTATTTTTGACCAGCGATGTCTGTTTACCGATGCTACAACATATATTGAAAGTCTACGGCCTGGTTTTATTGATCTATATATATTGATTATATTCCATATATATTTACCATAATCTAACCTCAGCAACACCTTCGTGAGAATCATACAATTTCACATAGGCATATACATTGCCTTACATCTAGTAATGCTTATCTTTCTACTGATGATAATTTATTTACTCTCTCAAAAGTTGAATATTACATTTCTGCTACTAACAGATTTAAGTAGAATTAGGACCGTTTTCATTGCCTTTTATATTTATTAATATATATATATATATATATATTCATATTTATTTTATAATTTTTTTATAGGTCATTTAATTAATATGCTTTTGAGTAAGGGCTTCTGTGTGTGTGTGTGTGTGTGTGTGTGTGTGTGTGTACAAACATCTATATGATTTGCTAAGAAAGTATTTTATAAGTTTTCAAATGTCATCAAATCATATTTCTTTTTCTTTCTTATATATTTGTAACTTGGTTGAATGTTCTAGCCTATATGTTTGTAAGTGTATATGAGTGTCTTGTTGAGCTATGTATTACATTTATGCTTTTGCCATCTATACCGGATAGTAGAAGACTTATATAGGCTAAGCCAGTGTCTCATCCAATTGTTCAATTTGTTTGTCCAATAAAATTTGTTGAAATTGAAAGTCACCTGAGGCGTACACAAAATCGATAACCATCCAAACAGAAGCCTATTTTCTGTAATGGTATTATAATATAGATCCAAGGTAGTTTCTATGGCACATTATGCTATCATGGCCATGAATTCGCACAGAACATTTTTTCAATTATGTCCATGAATGTGTATCTGTATTTATCAAAAAGCGTAGGCGAAGTAGAACAGGGCGACTAGCAAAATAGCAAACAACATGAGTACTAGTTGTATAAAAGTCAGATAGCGTAGCCAATAACCTATCACGTGTTATAAGGCTTATGTATTCTGAATGAAATAGAGTGTGAAGTTGTATTGAAGGAACAGAACATCCGGCAGTGCAGTGAGTCAGTGTCTCCCACGTTAAGATGTGCGTATAACATATCATATCTGTGAGTAAACCTATGCTTCTATATTAATACAACCTGTTGTGACCACTATTTCAGAACAACAAGCCATGAATATGTGTATAAACAATGGATCAACCAGTAATAAAACAACAAAGCATGATTTCGTATTTAAATATCAACTTTATTTATTTTACAACAATTATGAAACAAGTTATTTCAACTTATATTAATCACTCTAGTTGGCCCGGATGTTAGCGCGTGGGGGTATTAGTGTGGGAGGAAACCGGAGTGCCCGGAGAAAACCCACGTGATCGGGCAGGTGACCCCAGCCTTTTCACGTCCGATCGGAGAATCGAACCCTGGCCGCCTTGGTGAAAGGCAAGTGCGCTATGCACTGCACCTCCCGACCATCCTTATGATTATGTATTCACGCTATGGGTGAAACTTTGTTAAAATATCATACATGAATATTTATAAAACCTTCAGGTTTTTTATTGTTTAACATATAGTAATGAATTTGTCTTAATTATGGTTTGACCAGTGTTCAAACAACAACTTATGCCTATCTATTAACAAGTTACGAATATATTTTGACACTGTGAGTATACCAGCGTTAGAGCAACTAGCTATGAAAACAAATTCACACTATGGATCAATCGGTGTTAAAACAACAAGTTGTAAATATGTATTCACACTATGGGTCAAGCGGTGTTGAAACAACAAGTCATGAATATGTATTTACATTATGAATAAAGCAGTGTTTGAAAAACCTAGTTACGAATATATTTTCACACAACAGTAGTGTTAAAGCAACTAGTTTTGAGTATCTTTTTATACTATGGGTTAACCATTTTCAAAACAACTAGTTTTGATTATATATTTGCAGTATGGTTCAACCAGTGTTAAAACATCAAGTCGTTAATATCCATAACACCTAAAGGTCAGCTAGTCTAAAAACATCAAGTCGTTAATAACCATAAAACCTATGGGTCAGCTAGTCTAAAAACATCAAGTCGTTAATATCCATAAAACCTAAAGGTCAGCTAGTCTAAAAACATCAAGTCGTTAATATCCATAAAACCTAAAGGTCTGTTAGTCTAAAAAACTCAAGTCGTTAATATCCATAGAACCTATAGGTCAGCTAGTCTAAAAACCTCAAGTCGTTAACATCCATAAAACCTATAGGTCAGTTAGTCTAAAAACATCAATTCGGTAACATCCATAAAACCTAAAGGTAAGTTAGTCTAAAAACATCAAGTCGTAAACATCCATAAAACCTATAGGTCAGTTAGTCTAAAAACATCAAGTCGTTAACATCCATAAAACCTAAAGGGCAGTTAGTCAAAAAACATCAAGTCGTTAACATCCATAAAACCTAAAGGTCAGCTAGCCTAAAAACATCAAGTCGTTAACATCCATAAAACCGATAGGTCAGTTAGTCTAAAAACATCAAGTCGTTAATATCCATAAAACCTATAGCTCAGTTAGTCTAAAAACATCAAGTCGTGACTAACTATTCACACTGATCGGTTCCATTTCTGGTCAGTCTATGTTTCATTACTGGTCTAAGTGTCATTACTGGTCTAAGTGTCATTACTGGTCTAAGTTTCATTACTGGTCAGTCTAAGTTCCATTACTGGTCAGTTTATGTTCCATTACTGACCAGTCTATGTTCCATTACTGGTCAGTCTATGTTCCATTACTGGTCTGTCTATGTTCCATTACTGGTCAGTCTATGTTCCATTACTGGTCAGTCTATGTTCCATTACTGGTCTATGTTCCAGTACTGGTCTATGTTCCATTACTGGTCAATGTTCCATTACTGGTCTATGTTCCATTACTGGTCAGTCTATGTTCAATTACTGGTCAGTCTATGTTACATTACTGATCAGTCTATGTTCCATTACTGGTCATTCAATGGTACATTAGTGATCAGTCTATGTTCCATTACTGGTCTATATTACATTACTGGTCAGTCTATGTTCCATTACTGGTCTATGTTCCATTACTGGTCAGTCTATGTTCCATTACTGGTCAATGTTTCATAACTGGTCAGTCTTTGTTCCAATTCCGGTCTATGTTCCATTACTGGTCAGTCTATGTTCCATTACTGGTCTGTGTATGTTCCCTTACTGGTCAGTCTATATTCCATTACTGGTCAGTCTATGCTCCATTACTTGTCC